ATCCCACCGCTGCCAGCAGTTTTAAATATATGTATCACAAATAATGCTCATAGACGAAGTGCAATACTTGAAACCACACATTAGAGGAAAAAATACTAAAATACTTTGACAATATACACTGTGGAATAGGATATAAATGTGAACCCTTTTAAAAGTTGTGCTTGACACCCAAGTAGTTTGTTCAGTTCAAGACTCCAGTCTCTTTTGCGGGTGTGGGTTTGAATCCCGCTGCTAGGATTTTAAATAGCTCAGAAACAATACCATCATGCAAAGAACAAGGCTTGATATCATACTTTATATTCAATATGTGTGGTTTCCTCCTGTGGGCAATAGACGCTGTGGAATAAGATATAAATGTGAACTCATTAAAAAGGCCCAAAACTGTGATGTGGTTTGTACAGTTGACATGGCAACTATAGTATGGTGTTGTTAGGTGATTTTCTTGTGTGGTCAGTACACGATGGCACTGTGAGCGTATTCATCACAGCTGCCTTGAATGTTCTCCTGAATGATGCTGCTGCCATAGTAACGCATCAGGTCTCTCAGTCGGCCTGCTGCTCTGCTGTTGTACATCTGTGAAGCTGTCCTGTTATCATCTCTAACACAGCTTACTCATGCATGTCCACACACATGATGCTCACAATCATTTTCAGTACAGGTGGGTCAATTATTTTTGATGAATTGTTTGTATATTTATACTTGGCATGTACATTTGCTTCTGTTCTCACTTATGCAAGGGCAGATATTTTAATATTCTCTCTTACACTCACAGATACTACACCTTGATCCACACTTATTTCTCTCCAAAGCACACATTGTGTTCATTTATATGCTTTATTTAATGTAAACAGAGACTCACATAGGTAAGACATAACTTTAAGGGCAGAACCTTTTGTTACACTTAATGCTCCCATGCTTACGCAATACACACTCGGAAACAGTGAGAGACAGTGAGAGTCAGTTCTAATGCATTTAATGGGGTTGCCATTTTGAAGCTTAGGTCCACCAAAAAGCAGAAGAGGAACAAGCCATAGCTAGTTATGTCATTCCCACATGTGTGTTTATGTGTGATAGTTTCTTATTTTCTAGAACAGCCCCTTCCTTTCTGTCTCTCTCTCTCTGATGACTGTCATACACACATGCCTTTTACTATACACACTCATTCGCACACACTACAGATTTACTGTAGATATAGCTACTGTAATAGCATAGCAGAATGACATACAAAGAGCACAAACCATATTGGATCTCAAAATTGTGTTCTTGTTTACTTAATCTCGTCTTTTTCTTAGAGCTTGTCAGCAGTAAATCTTACTTAAATTTGGAGCTGGAATAATTAGGCGATTGATTATTTGATTGATAATTGAGTTATATTTCAGCTTCTCAAACACAAGGTTTTGCTTCATTTGAATAATTGTAAATGGAATATCTATCCATTTCATAGAATATGGATTGTGGACTGCTGATCAGACAAAACAAGCAATTTGGAGATATCAAGCTGGGCTCTGGGAAACTGTGATTGTATTTTTTGTTTTTCACTATTTTTTGACAATTCCTTGACTGAACAACTAATCGAAAATATAATCAACAGATTACTCGATGCAGACCTATTCCGGTTTGCAAAGTCTTTCCTTTTATCTTTACTAAGAATGTCAGAGAATTTTCTCTTATTTAATGTTCTTCTCTTACAGAAGTCCCTCTTGTGTTTAATCACTGCACATCTCCCTCCTCCCGTTCCTCTCCTCTCAGACAGGCGTGGTCCTTCTGTTGGCAGCACAGTTTCCAGGCAGCATGTCTGTGTTGTTGTGAGCAGCTGCAGTAGTTAAATCATCCACAGCCATGTCAATCTTACCGTCTTTGAGAGGCGAGGCTAAGGTGTAGAGCATGAACTCTGACCCCACTGTCACTGATGTTGGCAAACCTGCCATGACTTTGGATTCAGTGGAGATGGATGGCTCTCGGTCTCGCACCATGGATGCTCGAAAGGAGTCCCCTGCACTGTGGTTGCTCCTGTAACTGTATCGGCGGGAGCGGTTCTGGTAGTAGCGTTTGCGGTAGTAAGATGAGCTGCGGGAGATGGGCGGCTTTATGAGAGAAGGCCGGCCTTTGGTGCGCAGCTGTCTGTGTTTTTCAATGAACACATGCACTGCCAGGACGCCCACCATCTCAGCCAGCACAAAGGACAGAGCTCCAAAGTAAAAAGACCAGCCGTAGGAGTAGCTCTTCTTGTTGTCGCTCTGGCTGGGGTCACCTGAATTGGCTGATATGTACACAATGATGCCAATTATGTTACTGAGACCTGGAAGAGTTTAGGATGGAGAGGGTCAGATAGGTGACAAATACTGGAGCCTGGGTGCATGCACATTAGATTTGTGTGTGTTTCTGACCTGCAGAGACAAAGAGTATACCCGCACTGAGGATTACATTGTAGCGTGACTTGTAGAACTCGCTGGCAGCTACACACACACCTCCGAGAAATAACAATCCCACACTGAGGATGGGGAAGAGGCTGGAGGCTCGTACCGCTCCTGAGGAGGCGAGAGGAGAGTGGAACATTTGAATACCTGAAACCTCCATTATAGTTGTTAGATCTCAGAGTTATATGTTCACATTTGTTACTCACGTAGTAAATACTCTGCAGCATCCTGCTCATAGTCGCCATCTTCAGCAAAGTGATCAATGTCCTTGCAGACGCCTCGAAATGTCCCTGCAGAAAGACAGGAAAAGACAACAGTACACAGTACATTCATTCAATAACTACTAACTGTATCATTTTATCACACAACATACAAACTGTACAATTTATAGAAGTCACAGTGTCTTTGACCCAGTACACTTTGCATGCTCTCTCTAACAGTAACTTGCATAATGCTAAATGTGATGCTTACCATCTAATGGGCTATACTGTATCGATCTTTTGTTTGCTTTTATACGATCCAGCTCCAAGCTCTATCAAGATTTTAGACTAAAGCTCAGAGAATATTTATCTGAACTCTGTTTTCTACTGAGTTGCTGTAGGAAGTTTGTCACTTCTTGTGCACATTCTGGGCATGTAAAAGAAACACTGGTGTGGCTGATTTAGGTCAGCAACCTTTTTGGCTTAAAATTAAACAATGCCTACCCATCATCATCACATGTATATTATGGACATGAGTTTTGAGCATTTTAACAAAATCCATAATTTTCCTTCTCAGATACTTTAATTTGGAGAATTTTTAGGGGCCTGAAGGGGTCAAGCTATTGAGTATTTCACAAGAAAAATGTTAAAATTTAAGAAAACTAGTTAAAATAAAATACTCTTTTGTAGCAGAAATATATATCTCATTCTTTAAATTATCTTAGGATTTTCTCTTGGGACCTCAGTACTGACCCATAGGTTGGGAACAACTCATTTAGATAATTCAGCTCTGCAGAAGTCAATTTATTTTATCTAAATCAGAGTTCATTTTGACAGCAAATCATAGTCTTTTGCCATTCAGGTTTAGTCATATTAAGTCAGCTTTAACCACGATTAAGGACAGTGTTTGTTGTATTTTATGTTAAGTAAAAACACACCAGCTCAGGTTTGCTGATAAAATAACATCAGCTTGCATCTCCTCCCTACCACACAAAGAGATTAGTTCTGATATCATCTTATTTTAACATTTCTGGTTTTTATTAATTAAAAAATGTCAAATTATTTTCTATTTACCACGAAATCTATGACGAAAATGATTAGCTAGAATTTAACTAATCTAAATTTTACTTTTCTAGGAATAACAATCCAGTAGGTCAAAATTACATAACACAAAATACAAAATTACATAAAAAAGCAAATGCTAAGTGAATGTTTTCTACATTTAAATTTACCATAAGAGCTCCATTAGCTCTTCACATTTCAGTTTAAAAGCATACTCAGGGGACCTCAAATTAGTGTTGATAATGCACTTATTTATTCATTGGCCTTAACAGTTATAGGTAATTATGTAAAAAAAAACATGTTCTACTCTATTGCTAACCATCATTCAGGGCAAAGTAGTAAGGACTCTAAATGGTTTAATAGCAGACAAACTACAATTTGACTTAAATGTAATTTGTACACAGACGATTTGTAAATGCATGAGTTTCCAAGACCTAATGTTTCTGCTTGAGCTGGCTCAGTTATATTCACATGGTGCTAATGTTTATGTTGCTAAATGCAGTTTTTTTCTTCGTAACATCTTTATTTCTCCCAAAATATGGTAATAACCTTCACATAAGAAGATGAGCTGTCAAAAGCAGAAAAGAGATAAAATTTAATAATCCTGTTGCCAAGTTTAAAACCCATTGCAAACCAGAGTAGCTGCCATTCAAACGTTGTTTTCTGTGTTCTTCAGGCCGCTGAGTGCTCTTATTTGTGCATATATTCAGCATATTAAATTTTCTCACTTTTTTGACACTTTATTCCTGTGATGGTTGTTATTATTCCAAAGCCCTTTTCCACTGTTTCTTGTGTATCTGTATAAATATGAAACATAGAAGAGTGATATAAAACTAGTAAGGTAGTATCTCCTGGCATTATCACCCATCATCCAGCATCCAGACACACAGACTATCACTATCCTAACCTATAAAGGCTTTAATGTATTTTAACATGATCCTGTGTAGATCAAAAATAAACTGCACACATGTTTCCTGCTCTCAGTAACCTTTGGCACAGCAGTGCCTTTCAACATTTGCACACACAGGGATATATTGATAAATGTGTCCCTATGTGCTGCACTGATTGAACAGTATTGATGATGGGACTCAGGTCGCCATGGTTACCAAAACAAAACTCATTCAGTACTCTACAACTCGGCCACGGTGAACAGATCATAGGGAAGAGCACAGTACTGAGGACGCGTTTATTCAAATTATTTTCAGGACACAAAGCGAGGTGAGGTAACGTGTGAAAGTAGGATTTTATCTTTCTCCTTCCTCTAAGCAGGAATAGATATTTTCTGAACGCTTCATTATGCACCAGCTTTGTACCATTAGTCTTTCTTCAAGCTGTTACTTTGGAGGACAATTTAGTCGTAGCTTGACATGAAAATAACCGAGCTCCTCTGCCCCTCAACACTGGAAGACACTAACTGCATCTTACTATAAATGTCTGTCTGTGTTTAGTAAGTGCACACAGCCATAAGTCACCCCGTCGTCCTTTGTCTGTCCTCGTGTATTTTTATTTTGTATTTTGTCACTATTTATTATTGTTGTCATTTTCACTGATAGAAAATAAATTCAAATCTTATATTATTATTATTTATTGCACAGACAGCCTTCAGCTTCCTGTCTTTGTGTCTGCCTTTGGCTTTTTGTGATGCAGACTGACGGACACACACACACACACA